TAAAATAATTAAAAATATAAACTTATATCCATAAATTTAAACACGTTGAATTGAAAAATTTTTGGAATTCAATTATAAAATAATAATTTAATGTTTGAATAAATAAAAATTTATTCAAAATAAAAATATTATTAAATAAAATTAATAACAACTAAGTTTTGTTTGTTCCAACTAAAATAAATATGAAAAATAGAAATAACAAAATAAATCTTAAATGGAAATGAGACTAATATCATTTTGACCCTTGTATCACAAAAGCTGCAATCTGTTAGAGTTGTAATTCAGATAGTTTAATCCCAGAAACATTTTCGTTTTCGCATCTTGGATTCTTGTATTCATTAACTTGATTCTGCAAATCTTCAACCAAATTGTGTAACTGGTTAATTAAATCGTCTTGCATTTTTATAGTATCACCCAAATTTGAAATCCTCTTCTCCAAATCATCAGCACATTTTGTCGCCTGTTCTTCACATGCTTTAATTAATTCTTGTTCCATATAGCGATTCGAAAGTCCTCCTATCCCAAGACCTTTGGTATATCCTCCTTTAAGTCGTCCTAACCCCTGCCTAAAATGTTCTATGAGTGGAATAGGAGCTGAGGAAATCTCTTCAGCATTTGCCACTTCAACAATTTGAAGTTGTTCCTATAGGAAAAAGAAAATAAATTATTATAAAAAAATAGCAAATTAATATATAAAAATGATACAAATAATTACCAAAATTCTTTTCCCATCAAGAACTTTCCCTAAATCTAGAAAATACTCTAAACCCATAGATCGATCACCATCGAATTCTCTGAATTCAAAATCATAGAGTAAAAACAAAAGGGATGAACAAAAGGATCCTTATTTGGGAGCAGAAGTCGACGTCGAAGAAAGCAATGTTGGTTTTAGAAAAAAAAGAATTATAAGGAGAGGTCGACTATAGGGAAGATTTGTCATTCAGGTGACCTAAAATCATTTTTTCTATAAATGCATGACTTATTTTATTGTTAAATTATTAAATGGTTGGCTGCAATCTTAAAACCTTGACGGAATATGTCTAGCATACCTGTTGTTGCTTAATCCTCTATCGAACTTTGTTAGCCTCTTCTTAGTTGATGTAGTTAGAATTAGGATTCAACTCGTTCTTTATATATTAGTTAAGAGGATAAGTCTGGAAGATAATCTAATAGTGTTTAAATAGAATTGAAATGTGCAAGTTAACATTTCTGTTGGTCAAGGAGAAAAAAAAAATGCTATTTAACTTTTTTTTTTATCAGAGTATTTGTGCTAAATTTTAATTATTTAAATAGAAAAATCAAATAAACTGAACTTAAACAAAATCAGATTTTAAATTAAAATTTAATAATTTAAAATGAAAACATAAATATCCATTAGCTTTTTATTATCAGTTTTTGAAGAATTTTAGGTTTCAAAATCAGTCTTCTTCTTACTGTCCCTTGAAGAATATTGTGGTTTCTCTTTATTTAAGGTTTTGATGGCAAAATCCAAGGTAATATTTCTTTCAAATTTCTTGCAATTTAAGGCAATCTTGTCATCTTAACCTTACTAGTTGTTGCTCAAATAAAAGCCACAGGGCATACTCTTGAACTCTCAGATGACAGTTCCATTGATGGAGTTCATGTGAATGATTTATGCTTTTCATTTCCTAACTCTTTGCATAGAGATACTCCTGAAAGCCCAATATCACCAAGTTTGCCAAATTATGTTAGTGATTCAGATGATGGGAATGGTATATTTGAATCACCAAAACTGCCAAGTTATGTTAGTGATTCAGATGATGAGAATGGTATATTTACTTGATACTATCAATCCTTTTCCCACTCTATAATTTTAGAACACTATTGAACTGGTTTTTATATTCTTGGTTTGTTTACAGGTAATTAAATGTGTAGGTGATTTGATGGTCTGTCTATTACCATGAGGTGAGGTGAGTGCGATTCATACTTTTTGTTAAATTTATGTTTGGTAGTATATATTTCCATGTTTTAATATGGAGTTAATAAATTTTTTTGTGAACTTGCATAAGTTAGAGATGTAAAACATGTTTTATCATTCTAAATACTAAAAAGGTAGCATTTCATAAAAGCAATCAAAAGACTCTTCTTTGTGCATTATTAGTAGTTTTATCTTCCCAATTTTAATTAGTTATGCTTGCCTTTTTTGTGTATTTATTATTGTCCACCCACATAGCAGCCGGTGTCTAAATTTTCTATTAACATATCATATAATCCTCATGGTGACCATTCAGGTGCATTTTCAAAGGCCTCAGCCTCTCTCACATCGTTTAACATTCTATTCAATTAAGCTTCTTTTTTTTTTTTAATGGAGCATTTGGAAGAAGATGGGGAGTAACTAATGTAGATAGGGAAGGAAATTCTGAATATAAAGGAATATTAAATTGTCAGTAATATTTACCTACTATCTATCAGGATTTATATTGTTCAATAAAGATAAGCTTCTTTGTCTTTGTGATGAACTTACCCTTGTTGATTGCCAAAGTATATTCCTAAACCATGCCTCTCACCTGCTGAGTTTTTTTATGCTATTATATTTGCCACAAATTCTTCAACCTATTATATTGTATGTCAGTGGGTTATGTATTTTACTTTTTCATTGAATTTCTCTTGTTGCTAAGTGGCTGTCAACATTTTCAGGAACTTGTCACTTAAAGCACAAGTTCTTTGGCTAACTGTCCAATTGTGACAGTACTTATTGAATTGTCCTTGGCCATCTCCATGTACGTGCATAAAGATTAAAGACATTATTGCATACAAACACACACATAGGACAAAGCCTTTATGCTTTGAATGTTGAGATGTTCTGGTTGCAGTTATTAGTGTTGAACTTATTGGTGATGGTGGAAATATGTTAGTAAAACTAGAATACTAGATGAAGTTCATCTATTCTTTAATCCTTTTAATTTTAATTATTGGTGGTTCTGATAATTAATTACTAAGGATAACTTTGATTGTGAAGCAATGCTTGATTGATTGCTTCAATTCTTTTGCATGTTTTGTGATATATCCTTGTCAATGTTTTAATGGTAAACTTGGCCCATGACCATGTGCAACATCCTTAGGTTATAAGGTTTTGTGATATATCCTTGTGATATATCCTTGTCAATGTTTTAATGGTAAACTTGGCCCATGACCATGTGCAGCATCTTTAGGTTCTAAGGTTTTGTGATATATCCTTGTCATATTTTGGTTTCATTTTATTTTTCAGGTGATGATGGACCAGCTTCAAATGAAATGCTTTATTGGAGCTCAGTGGCTATACTAATGGTCTCAGTGTTTACTACAGAAGATTCAATTATTTTGATTTTGTTTGTCTTCTAAATGAAACATTTGAACTATTATTCAATCGTATTCAGTTATTATACTATTGACCATTGGACCCTTGCTTGTCAAAGAAATGACTTTCATTTACATTTTTGGAGGTTCAAAAATCAGCATATGCATTCTCTGAATTGCCTAATAAAGTATGGATTTGATCTTATAACTAAAGAAATGATGAGACATCAGTAATTTTAAATCAAATTTTAGTGTTACATATAAGAATTAGATCAAGTCAGTGTTTATTAATTTAAAATTTTTGATTTGATGTCATGGATAGAAGTGTAAACTAAAAAATAATCAAAGTTTAGCACCCAAATATTTTTTATGGAGAATCGAAATATATTTTGGTCTTATTTTGCTTGAATGGAGGTTCTGTCTAATAGTTGTGGCCATATA